TCAAACGCCCTTATCCAGCGTGGCGGAAATATCTAACCCTAGCCACATTTATACGTGCGTAATTACAGTGCTGCAAATGCAGAACTTATAAGAATATGAGGAAAAGTGAACTGATAAAACTGTTTATCTGCTAACTGCAAAAGTTAATATTGATTATAAAAGGAAACGTTACCATCAGAACGTAACCTCTACCAAACGTACGCGAAAAGTACTGAATGTTCAAATAGCCTATAATTAAATTACTTTGTCCTTGACAGTACTGATTCTTGATTCCTTTATTTGTGTACAATTCAAATGATTTAGTAATTGTATTTATATCTTACAAACAGGTAAGGAAATTTACAGTGACTGAACTTTTTAATTCACGTTAAATATTGCACTTGAAAAAAAGATAAAGAGTTTTTATACGTTTCAGTTGTCGTTACTGTAGAAGTGTTTGTCTGTTACTTCCAGAATGGGAGTCATTTTACCTTCGCGAAATCTCCATTTCTTCCCAAAACGGCACAACTTCTTTTTCTAAGCATCCAACCGTGAATATTACATCGCCCACATAAAATCGTACCCACAAAAAATAACGAATAACGCTAACTTCAGCATGTTTTAAAAAGAGTCTGAGAAAACATTAAATACGTTTCGTTTCTCATATTAATGATACTAAAGTACGAAGGACGAAAGAATCTGACCATTTTTTAACGACTGAGAACCGTAACAGAGACATAGAGATCAAGATAAATAAGTAATCTTGGCTTATCCAAAGTTATTTTTGTATTATTCAAATAAATATTCCATAAATGGTGTCATTATGTACAACGCATAGCATTTTTTAGGTGCAAAATTATCGAGTGAACATTCCAAATAATTTCTCATGGAAATAAATCTTGATACTTTCATTTTCAATTTGATTTTAAACAAAAAAGTTTCTAAATATTTTGTAATCCTTATTCAATAACCACTAAATCACTGTTGCCAACCAGGGCAGTGAGAAACTTAAAATCACAATGAAAGCGTTTCGGAAGAACACAGTGCTTCCATCTTCAGGACACTTCAATGACACTATTGTTCTCGTATGAATATCGACGTCGAATTTGACCATAAAGAGCTGAAGACAGCGAAGTTATTTTGCACTGTGGACGTGGTACGTGCAACATTTAAACCTAGCCGAATATTTGATTTGCAGACAAAGAAGAAGCTACTAGCTGTGCCCTGGAACAACCCAAGCCATGGAGGACTTCAATATTCCATTCCATCAGACGTGTTCGCCAGCAGACTGCCACACCCTTGTCGAGGTTTAACAAATATTTGTCCTTCTCCCATCAGTATCTCCAAAGTGCGTCCCACATCAAGCTGAACCAGGCCAATACCGAAAACACTGACCTTACTCGGTGGAAGCCTCTCTAGTCGAGACTGTACACAAAACAATTATATTTTCTTATTGCTTCATGATTTATTTATATTATTTACTAAATAAATTAAAATAGGATCAGATGAGCCGGGCATGTAGCACGAATTAGAGCGGTTAGAAACACACTAAAAAAATTAGTCGTAAAATCTAAACAGATGGGGGCAAAATATTAAAATTAAACTAATGAAAATATTTTTATTTATTTCTGGTTTATTTAACGTTACCAACAGCTCAGATGACGAGACATGAGATTTCAGAATTACTACTGAATCATGAATTAGAAAGGCTATGGAAGGAAGGCGTCGTGGCCGAATTTAAGAAGTGCGTGTTCACAAGGTCCACCATGGCTATTTAATAAAATTAATTGGAAAGTAAGATATGTAACAGATCTGTACAAAGAATAACTCAATGTTACTTACTCTAAGTGCATTACTAAGCACGCAGGCCTACAAACATAACAGCTATTTTCTGCAGTTGTCATACGAAACCTGTATTAACTGAAAATTTATAATGACAATTTAAAATTGTACGCTTCTAACAGATTTTCTATTGTCACTGTTACTATGTCATGAGACAATATCTGCGAAGAACTGCTACTGTCAATGGACCCTTTGTCCATCTCTAGATGATACACGCACGAGTGAACATCGAGCAGCGGTGGAGTGCTACTGACAGGGGAAAAACATGATGCCAGGATAAAAAATCTGCCTCAGTCCCACTTTGCCCACAACCAGAAATCCCACATGGACTGCTCTGGGCGCGAAGCTGGGTCTTCGGGGTGTGAACACTGAGCTATAAAACCTCCTTAATAGTTTCTTAAATTCTTCTTTGAAGTATTTTACTTCATGGAGTTAGTAATATTCTACGATTAGACGAAGACAATTAAAGACATTCCAGGAAAAAAGCTTGCTTATTTATCTGTATCGTCTTTAATTTTCATAGCCCGACGCGTATAATAAAATTTTAAAATTACAATATTTTTTTTTCCTTTCACGATGCATATACACTACTGGGCTCCTTTGATGTAGAATCCCACGCCCTTGTCGTCATGCCATCAGTTCGTACATAATATACACGATATGACGTGCTGGAGTGTTAACGCAAACAAAGTGCTACATTGCAGTAACTCCGCTGATTAGCAATCTAGAATTTTGGAGAAGTCAATTCTAGTGTTCCAGCCAAACAGCAGATAGCGGCTCAGTGCTGGAGTGGGGGAGTAAAAGCTTTATAGTATATCTAGCACTCCCCATGATAGGAGAAGCAAAACGCATCATGCAGGATGAAATTCAAACGTCAGAGAGGGAAGGTTCTTCGGAAGAGGCAACTGTCTGCAGCCGCCATGGAGTGCAACGGAGTAATCTTAATTTCCATTGCAGGCGGCCTCAGGCAACAAGTAAAATCGAGCGATGAATCCTATTTCCATTACGGCCTCGTAACTAACATCGTGATCTAATTCTAAGGTTCTTGGTTATCTCCGACGAGCTTTCTGGCGTCAGATTGTAGATGCAGAAGGCGCATTCTTTTTCTCTATAGGGGCGTTCGCGCCCATGTTTAGAGCCTATTAAACTGGTTTAGCCCGTCCGTCTGTCTGTACGCACGCAACAAGCAGAGAAAGGACGAATGTATTTTCGTTAAATTTAATATTTGGAGATATATTACGAAAAATTATAATTTGTTCAATTTTTATCAGTCTAATCACAATAAAATATTATTAAATATTATTACAATTAACATTTAAATATTTAAAATATTAAAAATGACGCTCTCTCTCTATCATTTTAATATATTTTAAATATTTCAATGTTAATTGTAATAATATTTTAATATTTAATAATATTTTTATTGTGATTAGACTGATAAAAATTGAACAAATATATATTCAACACAATATGACGCAACATTATCATCTCATGAAAAATTATAATTAAAATTGTTTATATCGTTCAATTTTATCTACCACTTTATTTTATTAATCATTTAATCTTTAAAATTATTTTTGCTTGCATTATGTGAAATACGTCGAATGTACCTTAATGTAAAGCTTAAAAAAGAACTTATGGCCAAAATATGTCCAACCTGCTTCAACAATTAAGAATTATTTGTGTGATTCTCACTAAACAGTGATTATTTCCTTAAACAGTGTTAACCAGTTGATAGTTGTAATGGTGAAGTATTTTTTTAAGGGTTGACTTTTTAATATTATTTAAGGCCTATTAGAGAAGACAATGCATGTGATGCCAAACTAAGCTGATATCTGTCGAATATTAAGCAAAAATGGCTACTCTGTTAATTGTCACGTCATAAGACCTTGACCTTGCCTTTAAATCTGACGGGGTCAGACCTTTGTGTGCCCTAAATCCCCTTTGCCAGGTACTGACAAACGCGAACCTCTGAGATGGCTGGAAAAAATTGTGCATGAAGGCGTAGGAAGGAAATGTAGATGTCAGACCCGCTGGTAGAGGATATTGAAGAAGGCTGTCTCGGACGTGTTTGATTGATCAAGCAACTGTCAGATTATTGCGCGCAATTTAACACGCCAAACGCTCTCTCTCTCTCTCTCCCACCCCCCTCTCTCTTACTTCTGGTTTGTATCCTTCTCTCTCCACTTGGCATGTCGATGTGCTTAAGGCTGTATTTTTCCCTTTTTTTCCTCAGAAAAGTCTTGCGTGTACACGTCTGGGTGCCTGTAGATGGAAACCAGGTTTCTTCCAACCAGTATTAATGTGTTTTCCTGATACGATAGGCAAAAGGAGAACTCGCGATTTGAGAAGAAAACATGTCAACTCCAGACATACGCCCCAAGAGCTTTCAACAATTTTCTTACTAATGGAAATCACTTGGAAGGAACAAATTGAAAACTAAATATTGTTTTCAGATTCGTAGAAGACGAGAAAAGTGTATAAGAAATGTCAAGCCCCTTGCGTAAACGAAGTTAGAATGAAGAACAATTTGACAGTCATACATGCGAATTGTAACCCCATGGAACAGTCCTTCTTGAAAATCCAATGGTCTCTCAAATAGGCATTAACAGCCTTTTATACACCTCAGAGTTTCATTACAGCATTTATAAGAACACAACGCTGGATCTCATCCCGAGCCAGATGAATCAAATCCACAGATTGCCGCCAGTTTTAAGATTCATTTTAATATTATACACCCTCCAACGTGTAAGTAATACTTGTGCTTTAAGTAAGAATAAAACACAAAAGCAATAAAAATCTCAAAATCCTTCGGAGACCAAAATAATTCCTCTATAATTACCACCCTTTCCCACTAGGTATGACGTCACTTTATAGATCACACACACACACACACACACACTACATGAAATTCAAAGTTTACACAGAACTCTTATGTTTGTCTAAGTAACACACTACCTTGAAAACACGAAATTTCTGATACTGTCCAAATCAGAGCAGAAACACAGAAATCGTGATTGCCATCTTTGTTTAGTGCACTTGTATTTGACCTTCAAACTCATTTGAAAGTCCCCCATGTATCACCAATAATCATACGAATTTATTACCCTCTTATCGCTCCACGACAGAATGATGATTAATGTCATCCACACAGACATACTGATTAGTCTGTTACTTACCTTGAGTCTGTTCCGTAGGCGAAGGCTTTCGAATCCTTTCACAAACTATTCAAGTCTTCTACATGGCTTGCCTGATCACCAACTAGCACTGCACGTGTACGTGACTCGACAGTTTTTTGTTAACAAGCAAGCATCAGCAATTTCAGATGCTACCAACGGTAAAAACTGCGAAGACAAAGTCGGACATCAAAGCAATGAATTTTACCTCCACCTCAATTTTATCAGAGCTCTTCCCTTTACTTAATTTCAAGCTGAATCATTCCCTTCTAAAAATGTGTTAGCCAAAACGTAAACAATTTATAATTCTCTTACTAAAAATCTAGAACATTCTTTCATTTACTCACCGCTAGTTGCGCCATCAGCCATCTTTGTGTAGATCAATGCTAGTGACATCTAGTATCAAACTAAGAAATTAATGCGTTGGTAGGAGAGGAAAGGAGGGGGTAAAGCGAATCCGAATATTGCCATATTTTCGTAAGGATTATATCTTATTTTAAACAAATACTTTAATTGCCATTAAAATTGTTTATAATTTCCTTGTATTATATAATCCAAGAACGTTAGAATGGTAAATGAGTCAGAACGGCTGAAAAAAGTTAACTTCTAAAAAGAAATTAAAACACGCTACAGCTCATGGGCAAGTCCATGTGGGAATTTCTAACTTTCAGTCGTTTCCGTGTAGATGGCAGGACGCGGCAGCAGTGATTGAGCATTCCACCTTCATGCAAACATTTTATTGTCAATCTTCATATCTGTTTCACTCGATGAGAAAGATATGGATATAATTGAGCTCTTGTTGTTTGTTTATGTTGTCTTCTCTTTTCTTTTCAGAGATTCAATTGCTTTCGGTGACGTATTCTTGGCTCTTAGATTCCTTGGTTTCTTGAAATATCCTTGGCTCTGAAAAATAAGTTTATTGCAGAACGAATTACGTTTTCGAAACTAACGTCATTGCTGACTGTTTTACTGAATCGAAATGTAATTAATCTCTCATTCTTTACTTGTGTTATTGAAAACAGAAGAATTTGCAGTTAGAACAGTCATTTTACAAACTGTTCATAATTATTTTATTCCTAACCTGCTACACGAGCTTATTAATTCTAGGGAAGATTGCTTATCCCTTCAGTGTACCTGAATAATATTTATAATTCACTTCATACCTCAGAGAAATGTAAATTACCCGTCAAAAATGACGGAGAAATCTAACACATTACATACTTTAAAAATATATTTTTATTAAAGTCTAACAAAACAGCATATACAAATTAAAATCATTATTACTCTTTGTTTAATTAAAGAACGTAATACGATTTAATATCATGCAGCGAAAAATACTGCCATAGTAACGTCAGAAGAGAGCTTAATATTTTATATCAAATCTAAAACTTCTTGACGATGGTGAAGAGTCAATTGAATAAAATTTTTGGATATTATCCATCGTCTAGTAAATATAAAACGTAAAACGACGTTTCGGAGATGGGACTCTATCTCCGTCTTGAGGTTCCTACACAGTTGGGCCCACTAGATAGAGCTAATCCCTATCTCCGAAACGTCGTTTTACGTTTTATATTTACTAGACGATGGATAATATCCAAAAAATTTTATTCAATTGACTTAATATTTTAATTAAATGAATTATTGAGCATACGTAATAATTATTTTATATCCATGGAAGCTTGTGCTTAGACCGCGTGTGTATCAGAACGGGAAAAAATGGTTGGAAACTATACAACTCTTGTCTATTATTAGATAGAAGTATATATTTATATATATTCACCTTCCTTCCATAAAATTTTCTTAACTTCCTGGAATGGTAGATCAATGACAAGAGTTAATAAAATCGATGCCAGAATTATGGAGGCAACTTCTCCCACTTCAAACTGGAAAAGAATGTTTAAAAAATGAACTCAAGAACATAGAAATATGACACTGTTTGACGTTCCCAACTTTTCAAATTCAGTTCCTGTAACAGACTGTAGGTTCGCATGTACCTACCAGTAAGTGTGGACTGTATGAGGTGGCAGTTCGTCTAGTACCAACATTGTAGAAAAAAATGGGAAACTGTGTGAGATACACGCTGTAGGAAATGCGGGCGAACACAGCGAATCCTTTCCATGACAGAGCGCGGCCCAAAATACCTAAAAAGAGAGGAAAAAAACAGACATTGGAAATCAATCAGATCGAGCGGAAACATTTGAAAGTACTTTAGTAGTGTTTTGTTGTAAGTGAGAAATAATGTCCTTTCAATACGAGCATCTGGCTGACGAGTTAACTGCGTTGGTCATTTGCGACTCTCAACTAACCGGATAGAGCAGACAGCCAAATACTCGCTCTCTTACCCAATAACCCCCCCCTTATGGAACAGAAAGGTTCGTCGCAGTGCTCACAAAAGCCTCCTACTTCACCCAATTGTGGTCTACATTCTTGACCGTGTTTCTTTAGGATCAATTTCAATATTACACTCCAATTTCACTTTAATCTCCACAACATTTACCAAATAATCGTTGTAACATAGAAGTGTTGTGTTTACTTTGAGGTACAGGCTACAGTCTTAAATATTATTTATTATATAATTATTTAAGACGAGCTTCGACTTAAATTTTTCAAATAAAATTAAAATAAAAGACCATATTAAATATTAAGTTTATATCGTTACCTGAATATCCCATTGATTCAGCAAATGTGAGCCAGCCTAGGAACGCGCCCCACAGAATTGGAGATAGTGCGCTGTACAGTGCTGCCTCTTGCGGGCTATATCGGTAGCTGGGAAACGACATGTGGTATGGCCCGCACATTGCTAGGAGACCCATTGCGCCAGATACGATCCAGCCGGTCAAAATCTGAATCTGTTATCGTGATCACAAGATAAATATTCAATTAACACATTTTCGCTTTAGAGCATTCGAATTTCATAATAATTGAAGATTTCTGTCTTCTGGGTTATCTCAAGTCTTTCATAATAATTATTTGCCGACATACGCAATAAAACTTCTGGTCAGTGATTTAATTAAATGGCGTCTGGGATTTCTATTCCAACCCTCATAGTATGGACATCCTTAAGATTAATCAGAAAAAAAACTATTTTAATGAGAAAAATAATTACCTTATTTAGAGAAAATTTCGGTTTTGTTTCATGAATCAGGTATCTCACAGCAACCCCAAACAGGTACATAGACGCTCGGTGTGTAGGCAAGGAGTATGATAATCTAGCGGTATCAAAGAACTGCGAGACCCTACAGAGCACAGTGGGAATTAATATAAAATCACACACACTACCACTGAGCTTAAATACTAACCAACAAACAAATTACATAAATATGATTACAGCCTTCTGAGATGTAATACGGAATAAATTTATCTGTGTTTCGGATGTGTTTATTATTTACTTCATCATTACGATTTTCGGTAATATTCTACCACATTACACTGTGCAACATGCCAGACAGTCAAATTTACACTCCCTGCCTTGAGAACGTAAAATATTACCTAATAAATTTTATAGTTAAGAGCTTTTCTTGAAAAACTGCATAGTTGCACAGCCGACCAAAGAAATTTCCAATATTTTATCTAAAGTCGAATTACTGTACCCACAAGAACCCTCAATTTGACCGTAATCTGAGTCAGTTGAATTCAGATCACGACCTCAAAACCTTGTGCCTTTTAAAATTACGTTTTATCCTCTATCCACATGCAAGTGCTCCAAAGGTATGTTTCCTTAACGTAGCCCCACTAAACTTTTATGAGTCTTTTTAATTTCTCCCTTACATTTTGCTTACCCCCTCCATATCCCCCTCAATTATGTAATCATCCCAAGGTTTGTCTGGTGAAGATTACGAATTACAAAGTTTCTTATTAAGTAATTTCCCCCATTTCCGCCCTCTTAGAGCCAAATATTCTTCTCGGCACTGAATTCCGTAACATTATCATCTATCTGCATATTCTTTTCTGAGGGCGAGAGAAGTTTTCTCACCGATAAAAAACCAAAAGGTAAATTTCTCATTGTACAGTTTTTTACGTTTTCAGACTTAAGATTGTAGGATTAACTATTCTGAACTAAATGATATCGGCGCATTCTTCAATTTAGTTCATCCTAATTTCGTCATCATTTAAAATGTCATATTATTCGGCAATAAACAAGGTATGTTGTTGATAAAGTACTTTTAAATAAGCAATACACGTACGGTGTGCCAAAGTACACAACGGTACTTAATTTTCTGTCGTATGTGACAGCGTAACGCAGAATGGACGAAACGGTGCATGTCAGTACCACGGTCGACAAACCAAGCCAGCGTCTACTCCACAGCACGTAGACCAGGATGGGGGTCACGACGTACAACTGCATGTCAACTGCCAGCTGATGGGTGTGGGTCAGACACTGCAACATTCACATTCTCAAACAGAATCTATTATCATCCTTGAAGATGGAGGCAGTATGTTCCTCCGAAACGTTGGTATCTACCTACACGTCTACAAAGCCTTACTACCCAGAAGACTAACATCTGCCGTCCCCAGAAAAAAAAAACATAATGAGGATAAGATGGTAAAGTTGCGTCATATTGTGATATAATAAGTATATATTAAATCTTGTCAGTCTAATCACAATAATTCTTATTAAATATTAAAACATTACAATAATTAACATTTAAAATATTAAATGATGTTCTTTATCGAAATATTCGATTTACATTAGATATATAATGAGGATGTTCATAACAAATTATCAGGACGTGAAGATGGGCGAAGCATGTAGCTCGCATGTAACAGATGATAAATGCATACAAAATTTTTGTTGGAGTATACGAAGGAAAGGACCGACATTTGCCATAGAAGCTTACCATGTCTTCAAAACCGAAGTAGTTATGTATGTACAATAAATTCCTCCACATGTTCCTCTGGCAGAAGTCCGAATGGCGTTTTACGACAAGATTCCACTGCGGTCCGGATCCAAGATGATTCAAAATGTGCGTGCAGAACAGAATTACGGCCACAAGGTTTGGCGTGATTCTACAACAAAAGTCAAGCCTGAAATTAGCCCACCAGATCTGGCACAAAATTGAGGCGCCAGACATAAGTAGACTTAACAATAAAACTACACAGCAATTAATTGTATTAACTTCAAACGATTCTGAAACGGTGTCCAACCTCTCCTACTACCATATGAACATCCAACTTTATAAAGTAACGTCACTGAACTGAGTACGTAGTTGATATTCCCTCAGCTAATTATGAAATTCCCTATGTTTTATGAAATCCAAAGTTTCATTAAAGATTTTTCTGGGCCCTATTCTGAACAGATGAATAAAACCACCTATTCAAGTTATATTACTCCAAGATCCGTTTTAATATTATCCTCAATTTTACTTTTAACATACTCCGTGTAGTTCCAAGAAATAGAGTAATAACCATTCAAAATGAATCATGGTTGCGTAAATCTATAACGATTACCTCATATATCGTGAAAAATATTTTCTGCAAATATTAATCTTCTTGTTTGAATCGAGTTCTGCCAGCAGGCTGTGAGACGTAAGAAAACCACTGATAAATATAAACGAATCTGTGTAGATAATCGACGTCCTTCCAATGACAGACCAGCTTTTTGAGAATGTCTGAAATAAAGTCAAATCTCAAATAGAATGAAATAAAATATTAAAATGCGTACAGGGGGTTAAAATTCGGCCAAGATTTCTTTTTGTAAGCAATGGCGTTAATAGGTGTCATTTTTATGAATTCAATAGTACATATTCTGTAGATTCTCGACATTATGTCACGTTTCGGTCTCACAAGTTGTGCCCGTTCTGTGTACTCGTGGATGGAAATCTTTAGGAGAAACATGCTGCCTAGATCTTGAGTCCTTATTTAAATAATTTCCTTCATATATAAAACACAATTTGGTATAAATTAATATTACTCTAACTGATTAACCCCGAATTTATAACTTGTGTTGGGCAAGGCCGTGGTCTAGGCAACACGGAGTTTTCCTCCGTGGCATCCCAACAATTACTCCATTCACACACAGAAGAAGGCAATGGCAAAACACTTCTGGATCATCTGCCAAGAACGTATATGAACAGGTCCCAGTCCGAGAAAAGGATGGAAGGATCCTGTTCATATGGACCTGTCGTCAGATAGAACACTAAATAAAAAAAAATAACTGATTAACCTGTCATTATTTCTCAAGTAACAAAATCTATCGTCTATTTGAGAACCACCATTAAGCATCTTATATAATCGAGTTACTCTTCCTACAGATATTCCGTAGATTAGTAATTGTGAATTCATGTCGTTAACATACCTCAGCCATATACGTTCTGTTAACATATGGGTTGAAATACAAAGCCACTGACTTGTGGAAGACAATTAAAGCAACTGCATTTAGTGTTCTTATCCCATGCAGACAGGCGAAATCGTTTGAGACGTTTTCTGTTTTCAGTAATGTACGAAAATTCTTCTTCAGCGAAAAAGCCTTCAACAGTCTTACAGTCTTTGCTAAAAAAAAAAAATAATTTGCATTATACGATGAGTATAAATTAATATATAATCACTCTATTTCCTCCAATAATTTTATTTTGCGTTTGGAAATTAAAACTTACTTAAATATAAAAGTAATAATTTATAGTCGCGAATAAATTAACGTTTTATGTTATCACTGAGCTATTTATTATATATTCAAAATAATATCAGTACATTCTGTAAATTTCTTAATATTAAGAGAACTTTTAATCTTAGTAATACGTGAAAGCCAGACACATCTATGGATTTTATTGAAAGCGTATATTAGTCATTTGAATTGTGTATTTCGACTTTAGACTTCTGGGTTGTGTTGAAGTATGGTCTTGTATGTGGTCACAAACATGTGCGAGGGACGTATCACACCATCTTCACCCCGAAGATGAAGGCTGTACGTTCCTCCTAAACGTTGTTACCCACTAACAAGCATCACGTGTCGTTCAATTTCAGGACATCACAGCTACTAACGGCATGAATTCAAAATTGAGTTATGGACGTCGGCCTTTAGGGAATTTTCTATCTTAAGATATTATTAAGAGTTAAGATGTCTTACCTTCCTTCGGAGAACGTTGACCTGTGTCTATCCAAGTACCGAATCCCACAAGACCAAGAATAAATATAAATAAAGCTCTGTAAAGTAACACACAAAGCTTTCATTATATTAGGAGTAGATTGAAGCTTATTAATTACAGTTATTTTTGTAATTATGATTAACGTAACTAAATGACAAATACGTTTGTGTTGCTAAACAATACTTCATTAGATAAATACACTATAGTAAACTTTAAATTAAAATTATCAAATTAGATTAGATTATTCTACTTCGAGACTTTCAATTTGTTTTTAATTATTATTTTGTCATAATATTAATTTTAAAAAAGTAACAAAATACGAATGCCTTTAATAGCTGTTCGCGTATTTGCCAGAAATAACAGTCAGACTCTTCAACTGGCTCAGAAACATGAAAGCAGATAGATTACTCTCAGCTTTATATTTGGATAAAAATTCATTTAATATTATTAAAAATATATTATTTTAAATGTATTATCTATGGATCTACTTCTAATATCAAAATAAAAATTTCCGATCATATAAAATATTTGTTAAACTTCTGATGAGAGTCTGTGAACGGTTAGAACGAACCAGTTTCATAACTCAGCGTTTCCGAAAAGTTACTTTTTTCGTTAACTAATGTTACTTAACATATTTTTTACGTCATTGATGTACTGACCCGTGTACACAGCCTACTTAAATTCGTCACATATATTCTGCCTTTTTAGGCATTTTAATTGGTTTCCTCTTACCCTCGGGGATAAAGCGACCGGAGCATGGAGCTATACCCCTATCTCCCCACCAGGGCACAATCTTTTCAAAACAGAAATACCAGCAATAAACGAAGCTAGTTTGCCTACACGGTAACTTTGGTTCCAGCCGTAATTGGCTGCAAGTCCTTGACGTAACACATGTCCGGATCGACCTTGACGCTCAGAGTAACAGGAGTGTCCTTGAGAAGGGTTTCGAGGGACTCGATCAGGGACTTCTCTAGGTCTTCCGCTGAACAGGAAACCGGAACGCAGAAACCCCAGCTCACTGTTGAAAATCGTGCGATACGGTGGCCCGGCTGCAGAGACAGACAATATTCAAAAGCGTTCCAGAGAAATACGACACATTATGCTACGTAAGTGTTGTTGTAGAATTATGGACTTTTAGAACAAGAATCAGAAGTAGATGCTTCCAAAAGACAAGTAACTTTCTGTTGCCAAAATAATATCAACAATAATGCCATAGTTACAGCATCCTATAATTATAAAACTGGGTCTGGCCAGATGTTCAAACTCAATTGCTTCTAGGAATCTGGCACGCTGTCTCACTGTAGAATTCCTTCCACGAAAAGATCACGCCCTGTGCAGTGGGTCATTACGACAAAACAATTTGGGTCATACATTCTTATTTTTGTATACGAGACATGTTTGGGACACCCAGTTGAATATTTAACATCGATGTATCAACTGTTATTTGGGAACGTAAAAATGTAAGAAACAACACGGCAGACAGCTGGCGGTAATTTTGGATTTAGACTGAGTAAAACCACGAGAGGCCTAATCTAAGTAAAGGTCAGCAGTATACCGAGCGATAATATAATTTTCCATACTGAACAGATTTGACATATTTTATTCGTTACTTCATAGATATTTAAAATAGCATTTGTTTTGAAATTATCCTCAGTTGATACCACGACAAGAGGTGTCCTGTGATCGAACCTCGCCACCTAACCATTGATAATCGGAGGTAATGCTGATGCTAATTACACACTTTCTACTTGTGCGGAGAAAATAATGCACCGAGTTTAACTCCATTCGCCAAAGATAATTATAAAAAGGATGCCTACGTAATTGTCACAAAAAGAACAACTGGTATTTTTTCTAAAGAAATTAAAATTAAGATTTCTTTGGGGATAAGGTGGTCCACTGTTCTGATTCCGGTCGGCTTCTGTAATAATTTGTCCATATATCTCACGTCTAATGAAGTCTAAATTTTGCTTTTCCATAAATATAAAGATAACGCGTTGTTCCTGAAGGCACAATCCCAGAAAAAATAGTTTATTTTTGCCTGTTTCAATATTAGGCTTAGGGGTGTCCAAGAAGTATATACAAGGGCGCATCTTAGAAAAGGTAAATTCTAAGAAAATTTTTTTTCTCGAAAAAACAAATCGGGAGAAATTATTAATTTTTAATTTTTCGAAATTTGGAACACGGTGTCCAAA